GTCCCCGTGTCTCAGTGTCCCAAGGTAATCGCTGCAAGCACCTCTGAGAGAAAGCTGCCCTCAAGTTCTGCCCAATGCCAGACAGTCCAGTTTCTCGCCGTATGAATCTGGGTCCCCAGAGACTCACCCAGAACTGGAGTTCAGAGCCGTTGGGAGCTTGTGACTCCCTCCCGATTCAAAAAGACAGCCGCGTCCTCAGGTGCCAGCCCCTTTCCGCGGACGAGCCTCCGTACCTCTGCACTTTCCTTCCGCAGCTCCTCTGGCTCTTAGTGTGCTTTTCTTTCCTTCTAGTTGTAGAATTTCCACTCAGCCAGCCTTCCTGTATTTCTGGATGATATCCGTTTTGTCTTTTCGTTGTATTTTTGAAGTTGTTGTGTGAGGCAGCAATTTCCCGGTATATACCTATGCCGCCATCTTAGTTTCTCCTGGTCTTTTCAGATCCAACACTATATTTTTAATAACTGAAAACTTACTTGCTCTTACCGAATATGAAAGAAATACATATTCATTGTAGAAACTTTGAACAATGAAAAATGCATAAATTATTTTAGTCATATTTCATTCTAGTCTTCTATATATATGTACTATGCAAAGTGGTGTCATAATAATATAATTAAAGTTAACCTTCTTTCATTTAATACTGTAAAATGAGTATTTCCTATTCCATTAACTACTCTTTGAAAATGCAATTCCTAATGGTTGCTAAATATTTTAACACAGGGATATACTAAAATGTATTTAACCATTTCCCTATTGGATTTTAAACTGTTGTATTTTCTTCTTTATTTTAAAAAAAAAAATCAGTATTTTTGCATGCATGATCATAAACTGTGATGAACCAAATTTGTCTATCTACTAAGGATTGTAGTAATCAAAAATGTCTTTTTGTTTCCAGGCATTTTCAGATGAATTTGACAAAATAGCTAATGGAAATTTCATCAGTGACAAAATTGCCAAGACTCAGAATACACAAGGTTCAGTAAAGATATAATTTCATTTTTCCTAAATTTATTTCATTCTTATTTTGTTGTTCTTTTCTGTGGTTCAGAAAAAATATTAAATTAAGAAATCATTTCTAGTTGTTAAATGACTACTTAATGATAAGTGAAAGATGGCAGTGATGATTTTTATGAAAAAAATCTATTTCTGAGAAAGGAGATATTAAATCATATTCCATACACCTGGGCATGCAAGACACTGGCCATGATTGACAATCTTGAGCGGAAAAGTAAGCAATCCAAGTTAGATAATCTGTACAGAGGGCTTTAAGTAGTGATGAGGCTAGTATTTCCTAAGGATGATGTGACCTGTGTTTTTGGAAGTAGATATATTTAAAGAGACAATACCACCCAAATGCTTGTTCTCTGTCAAATTTGCTGTTACATGTTTGGCTTTATCCTATTTGGAGTTTTCTGAGGCTTCTTGAATCTCAGTATGTATGTCTTCCATCAAATTTGGGAATTTTTCAGTCATTTATTCAAATAGTTTTCCTGCACTCGTCTCTCATCTCCTCTGGGGCTCCAATAACATGAATGTTAGACCTTTTGATAGTGTCCTGCCAGTCCCTAAGGATATGTTCTTTTTTTCCTCTTAATCTTTTTTTCTCTGTTTCTCAGATTGGATATTTTTTATTGATCTGCATCCAAGTTCACAGATTCATTTCTCTGTCTACTGTTGAGTCTATCCAATGAATCTTTAAAATTTCAGATATTGTATTTATAAGTGCTAAAATGTCCATTTGATTCTTAATTTATAATTTATATTTCTCTGCAGAGACTCCTATTTTTCCACTCATTTCAAATCATTTCCATTCATTCAAATATATTTAATTTGACTTCAGGGAGCATATTTATAGTAGACACTTTAAAGTCTTTGGGAAGACCAGCATCTGCATCGAAGTCTTTGATAAGTCCAACATCTGGATAATCTTGACTGTAGCATTTATATTGAGTATTTTTACCCTTGAGATCTGCTCACATTTTCTTGGTTCTTTGTATGACAAGCAGTTTGGGATAATAGACTGGTTATTTTCATTATTATGTTGCGACACTTGGGTCTTGTTAAAAATCTCCTGGAAAATGGTAATTGTTTTAGCAGGCAGTCCGTCAGTTAAGTTCATCTTAACAGTCCTGTCTCACCTTCTATGGGAGGTGTTCCCATGTCATTTCAGTTCTCAGAGCCTTTGCTGTGCTCTTGGGATGGCTCCCCCATGTGCAGCTCCACAGTGGGCTTAGGATTTAGTCCCGTTTGTCACAGAACAGGAGTTCACCTTCTCCAGCTATCCCCTCAGCAGAACTCTCTTCACACTCTTGGCTTTCAGGAGCCCATTTTCTAGGCCTCTCCACAGGGAGACAGTGTTCTCTTGGAGTTTAAGTTGCCTGTTCTGTTGCTGCATAACTTTGTGTTATCTGGGTTGTCCTTGGGTAAGAAAAGAAGAGAGAAAAAAAAAATAACAGGGATTTCCCACACACAGCCATGTACACTTTTCAGACCACAAGGACCCTTTGCGCTGGATCTTCTGGATAGAAATACAGAACTCTAAGAGCTTTAACTCCTTGTGGGGCCACTATGGAGTTCTGCAACTGGGGTCACCTTCGGGTAGGACCTGGATTTAAAAAAAACAAACATGGGACTTGTATGCATGCATATAAGCATAAGGATGGATGCAGACAACAGGGGGTGAGGGTGAGGGCAAGACTCGGGGTGGTGGGGTATAATGAGGGGATAAGGAAACATTTGTAATACCTTGATTAATAAAAAATGTATATAATGTAAGAAAAAACAGGATAAAAATATTTGATTCAAAAAAAATATTAAGTATATGTATACATACATTTTCCAATGGAAGTTGTGCCAATTTATAAATAAAGTTCAATTGGATCTCAAAAAAAATATATGGAAAATAATGAAGATCCCTGCCATACTCTTCAGCTCACAGGGCCCCCGTTTCTCAATCCTCTGGTCACAAAGACAGGGATCCTCAGAGAGTTTTGCTACCTGTGCTCATGCAGTTCCACAAGTAGGGCTACCCTTGGTTCAAAGCTGGGAGAGAAAATAGGAAAATTTCAAAACTTCCCTCTTTACAGGTTCCCTCTTCGGATTTTGACTCCTCTTCCCAATCTGCCTGCTGTTGCTTACTTTTCCTCAGTTACTAGATATTGAATTTGCCCCTTGTCTTAGTTGTAGTCAGTTGGAGAGATAGGCTCTCTTGGGCTGACTTCACCTTGGCCAGCACCAGAATCCCAAGTTTGATATGTTTTATCTAAATATGTAAAAGGCTAAGTCACCTTCTGACTGTCCGACTGGTAGCTATGACGTGTAATGACCACTAGGGGGCAGACGCTCAATGCAGGAAATGCTGAGCTGCCTTGACTTGGCAGTGGTGGTTCTCAGAACCAGAGATGAGGGAGCCTAATTCCAGGGTGTGCCACCCGAGAACTGCACTCTCAAAATCTGGGACCCCTTGGGGGATGTGGGAGAGTTGGTTTTGGCCCAATCCCCGCAGGCCAGGCTGAGGGATCCCACCTACCGGAGAGATTCCACTCACTCCGCAGATGCCCTTCAAGTCACAGTGCTGCCCCAGGTGTGGCTGGCCTGTAAGGGACCTCAGGAGGTTGGCTCCAGGGTATGCCTGGCTCATCTTGCTCAGTCCACCCTGCCAACCACCTTCTAATTAATTTCCTTTCAATGTGCATGAATCCGTGCACCAGGGCACTAGTATTTTATAATGCTTTTTCAGAAGCAGACCATCCTTGGGGCTTAGGGTCAGGACCATATTGAAGGCCAGAGATACAGGGTTTGGTATGGAGACGGAGAGAAGTACTGTATGGGAGGGCCACATGTGAGGAGCATGAGACTGAAGTCATTCTTGCTATTGTTAACTTAATTATTAACTCCATTTCTTTTTTCTTTTCAGGTTTGTCTGGGACTGTCCTTGCTAAAGAAGCAGCAGATGTGATTGTAAATTCAACAACAAAGACATTTGATCACAAAGCAGGTACTTTACTTGTAGGACTTTTGCTACAGTAATGGTCACAGTAGATCCCTTGAAGGAAGGTTTCTTTAACGAAACTATTTCGCATTTGCTATAGCCAAACTGGTTTCTACAACTTTGGTTTAGTAATATGAATTAATAATTTTAAAATTATTTTGACATGGTTTCCTATAATTGGTAACAGTTATTTCATGAATTTTTCTTTTTTTAATCAGAAATGCCCAGGTTGTAAGATTCCTTTAATAATAGGGAAAGCGTTTAGATAATAAGGCAACCATTGTGATCTAAGTGTACTGTATTGATTTTTTATTCATGTTTGTAAATATGTTGATGTTCCCATATAGGGGTCTCCAAAGCAATTTTGGAAAAGGCTGGACAAAATGTGGAAATAGAATGTTCTCGCCTAGGTAAGGCACAATGCTGTTTTTCAGTCCTAAAGTATAAGTGGAAGGCTG